TGGAAAAAATGGCATTATTAGGTATTGGTATGACATAGTACCGTCTCATTTGAAAACGGTACCGTACCGAATGGGTTTAGGTCTAAGACCGAACCGAACCATTTAAATAGTCACAGTACGAGTACGGGTTCGGTCAAATATTGGACCGGACCAGGCCAGACCGCGCCCACCCCTACAAGCTACACACAAATTGAACCCAAACAAAAAACGCTGATAATTTTAATTTATTAATCCATCTGTCCATTATAAGATTGTCTCTTTCCTTTTTATGATGTCTCAAAAACTTTGTTACTTTTGCTTTCAATGAATAAATTCGTGATTTTTATTATTTCATTTCCTTTGCACAAATCTCAACTACATGATTTTACTTTATTATTTCCAATGCTAATTAAACTTGACAAAGTTTTGTGAGACGAAGAAAATACGATGGATGTATGTGTTTGGCATTTAACGGATAGCTGACTATATTAGCAGATTATTAATAGTGAATCCTGAACTGAATAGCATTGCCGATCCTTGCCAAGAACAAGAGCTATTGACACACATTTAATAACCTATAGCATGGACGGATCTAGGAATCTGAGATGCCCTGGGTTGAGAAGCAATTATACTAGGCTAAACATTAGCGGAGTGGGTTGAATATTAAAAATGAAAAAATTACACTAAAAAAGTTTAAAAAATGAAGTTACACTCATCAATTTATATGAATTCACTCAGTCAACTTTTTACTACAATCCAACACGGTCAATATATCCACACATCAAATTTTTCTTAATTAAGGTCTTCCTTTTATTAATAAAATTCGAACATTTAGATATAAATTAAAAAATTTGGGGTTTAGTTTTTTTGTTATTAATTTATAGGAAAAATTGAAAATAATATCCCAACTATTGCCGGTCCGCTAACAATAATCCCAACTATTGATTATTTTTGTATAATCCCAACTATATGAACCATCCGCCAATAATGGTCCATGACCAAATATTACCTTCTATAAAAGTGAATTTTAAATAGAAATTAAACGTAAAAATTAAAAGTTGAGATTATTTATAGAGATTACTTGCTATATCTCTTCTCATCCACTTCAGAAAGTACATGAATTTATTTACAGGGACTGTTATTGGCGGAAGGACCCTGAAGTTGGGATTATTCTGAAATAATCGATAGTTGGGATTATTATAAGCGGACCGCCAATAGTTGGGATTATTACAATCAATTTTTCCTAATTTATATCTATTTTTAAAAAGAAATTAAAGTACAAAAAATTATTTTAATCATGGAATCTTAATTTTAGCACTTGGATCTACTTAACAATAATTTTACACCAAAGAATCACAACTGATGAAACTTCATACTAGTATTTTTTAAAACTTTATATATATAATATTAGTGCCAATAGGAAAGATAATGACAGATGAATTTTAATATATCATTTAACGATTAAATAAGAATAAAAAAGTTATACGTTAAATAAATTTGTGATTTTTCATTGGAATATTTGGGTGTATATACAACTTTAAATATGTGCAATTAAATTTATATCATACATTTGTATAAATTAAACAAATAGCTTAACTAACTTATTTAAATGAACAAACAAAGACATGGTTGCATAAGATGATAAGAAACTACAACGACATGACGTACTTCGCATTAGCTACAAAAGTGCTATGCACTTAGAAAAACATAATATATGTTATTAATTTTTCCTATCATATTTATTTAAGCTATATAGCCATTTAATCCTTTTTCATTTTCCTAGCCCCTCAAATGTCATGAGCACAACAGCAAAGATTCTGTGAATTCTCCCTGGCCAGGGTTGTATACGAACCGAATCGAGTCGAATAGTAGGATTTTGCATTTGTATTTGTTTAATTTTTTCAAATACGAATTCGAATTCAAATATGAAACGAATATTAATTTCGATTTGTATTTGTATTTGTTTAACAATACGAATAGTTAACGAATCTTATACGAATATCGAATAGATTTGAGCATAGGTTAAATCTTAGTCAAATATCACTTAAAATTAAATTTTATTATATTTTTTTTATGTTGTAAATGTACGTTATGATTTAATATGTGTTTTTAGAATTTAAATTCAATGGATCAATGCATTTTTAGATTGTGCACGATATAGTAAAGTGAATCAATTTTATGATTAATAAATATAAATCTATTTCAAACTTTTTGAAATAAACATTAACATATTAGAAATTCCACTTATAATGTGTGAAATAAGTTGATAATTGTATATATCAAAGTCAGACGACTCTAATTTTATTATGCAAATTGAATACATAATTATTTGTATTATATTTGAAAAACATTTGAACCAAAAATCTGATTTGTATTCGTATTTATACTCTGATTTATTACAAATGGACTTAGAATCTGTATGCGTAAATGTATATATGAACTACACTTTAGGGTATTGCTATCTTTTAAAAGTTATTATGGTGCTATTACTATTATTATTATTATTATTATTAATATTATCACTATTATTAATCGAATATATTTGATTAATATTCGAATCGAATATACTGATATTCTTATTTGTATTTAATAACAAATCGAATCAAATTTAATATTCATATTTGTATTTGTATTTGAATTTTTGGAATTCGAATCGTCTTATACGAATTCAAATCACGAATCGAGTACAAATTATTTGATTCATTTACAACCTAATTCCGGCTCCATCCGTGCGATCTAACCAATTTGGCACCTTCAAATATCAGGATTGCTGCATTTACGGGCTTATCTACAGGTAGGGAAATAGATATGGTGATCATTGACGGATGTCTGAGTCTAGAGTGTGATGATCATATTAGTCGATTACCAAATGATGTTCTTTGCTTGATTCTATCGTTTTTGAGCTACAAAGAGGGAGTGAGGATGTAGTCATTGTCTAGCAGGTGGAAAGAGTTATCCCCATCTACATCCGACATTATTCGGTGTGATCTTCTGTCCATTCTGGGAATTTATACAGACAGGTTCGCCAGGAAAGAAATGCGCAGACATAAATCTCAATTTCTTAGTGCGGTCACTCAACTGTTGATGTTATATACAGGACCAAAATTAGATACTTTTGAGGTTTCTTTTCCCCTGGAGCATGATTCTGCGTTCAATGTTAATGAGTGGATAAGTTCTGCTCTGGAGCATGGTGTCAACCGTCTTAAAATTGACTTTGGACCTTGCCCCAAGGACATTGAATCCTTCTACACATTCCCTTTTCATCTTCTACCTGATGGTGAAACTTCTCCACTGAAGCATCTATCTCTTAATCTATGTGCAGTATCATTTGTGCCCAGTTGTGCAATAAAGTTTAATACTTTAGTAACTCTCTACATTGGTCACACACGCATAAATCAAGTTTCTTTAGACAACATCTTTTCTGGTTGTGTGAACCTTGAGTTTTTGAGATTCGAACTGTGTCATGGGCCTCGGACCTGTTGCATAACGGGGTGCATTAGGCCGCCTAAACCGGCTGATCCTTGAAGATTGTCTTGATTTTTTCCACATTGATTTCAATTCTCTACCGCAGCTGACTGCATTTGAATACATGGGTGAAGTAAAGAAGCTCAAACTCAGAAGTCTTCCATCTCTTGAGAAAATATATTTTAGCTATGTAAATTGTTCATCAAAGGGCATGGATTACCTTTTCAATAAATTTGAAGAAGATGTCTCGCATCTACAAACTCTTTCATTGTTCTTCGTTCCCTTCAAGGTTTGTATACTGAAAACTGGTTCCCTTGTTTTCTCTTTATATATGTCCCATATTTTTGTTATTTTTTCTGGAAAAGAAACAACTTTTATGATGGATATAATTTTTTATTTCAACCCAAGCATGCAACTACACTATATAAGCTTCTCTAATCACACTCAGAAGAAAACTTTGGGAAAACATGGGGAAAAACTAATCTGGTTTTGATTTACTTTTTGGTGCCCTAGGAACCACCAATGCGTGCTAGCATGACTCCATTCAAGTATCTGAAGAATTTGGAGTTGTTTATTATGATATCACCAAATTATGATATTCTCACCATTGTACGCATTCTTAATGCTTCTCATGTCCTACAGAAGTTCCTTCTCTCTCTCTCTCTGTGTGTGTGTGTAAGTCTGTTGTTTGTTTCTCTACGTGATTTGCTTCAATGAAAAGATGCTCTCTTTGGTTTGTTTTACAAAATATGTTCATGCCGCATGTGATTGTTTACTCAAGATGGAACTCACTGCTGAAATCATTTCTCTTTTGATGAGTGCTGAAGATAGCTAAATATAGTCTATATATGAAATTTAGTATGATTTGGGGTTTATCCTAAAAGTCAGCATGGTAGGAGTACTTATTTGAGGAGTTGGTTTGTATTTTCTTATTGGACCGAGATGACTTAGCAAAAACATATTTTTGTCTAATGCATTCTTAAGTACATCAACCTTTTACTGATATTTATCTAATTCTATTGTAGATATATCCTGATTATAACTGGAAAAGTAATACGAGTTGAATAATTGATATAAAGTGCATCAATTTTCACCTTGAAGAAGTCGAGCTATGGGGGTTTTCTGACCAATTTAACTGCATGGACTTAGCTATTTATTTACTTGATAGTGCTAATTCCCTAAAGCGGATGCTTATGAATTCTCATGGACGCATTTATCATGGAGCTGACAGATGGGTAGGTGGCAAACAGTTTCATAATACGAACCTAAATCCAGAGGTGACGTGTGAATTGCTTCAAAGACACAATGTTGATTCCAAAGTAGAAGTCATTTTTACTTGATTTTCATATAGAAATGTGAGTTTCACCATCATGTTATGTAAAATTTGTAAACTTTTGTCACGAATAATTGATTTTTTCCAACTCCTGTAGTCTTGTGATGAGGAGGGTTGTGCATGTTTGCTCGGATATGATGTAAACTGGCTGTTGGATATTTTGGGCGTTATAAATGTGGTGAGCACTAAATTCTATAATAAAGTACTTTTATAATCATCAACATTTATACTGGCTAATTGTGAGCGTAGTTTTTAAAAGTGCACTTGGGGAGGCTGGCCCAAGGCGATTAAAAAATCGCAACCGGAGACCCCTTTAGTGCTTCATGCTTCTCTGTGCAGTCTATATTATCTGCATATTTGCGTGGGTGTATGACTGCATGATTGTAAGCTATCATTTTTTGGGTAGAGGTGTTCATGTAGAAGTAGGATAAGTGTACTTTCTGTTGAAGGAAATTCTATGTAGTGTGTTATCGTTTATATAGAATATGTATTAGGGTCAATTCTATGTAAACTATGTAATTTGGGCCTATTGGCCTGTACTTGTAAACCCTACTCTATCCCTATTTATAGGGGCATTCGGTAATGAAACTCTACGAACAATTCTCCCTACAACACATTATCCGCACGACAGTCTCACCCTAGCTTTCTCTCCCCTCTCTTCCATCACCATTCGTCTGCTCCGCCTTTGGAAGCACTGGCATCCGCCACCGCTTAGAAACTAAACTGTAGGACAAATGGATGTCCATCATCCAATGCTCTCCTTCATCCGCATAAAAAAAAATCCTTTCCACTGCTTCGCTGGTCGAAGAATTTTAGTTTTCAACCGTCCACAGCCATCCTGGCCAACCCCTCCTAGTTGACATCTTCTTCTCATGTCCCGCCGTGGGACAGTCTTTCGGGAGTTGCAGTTCGCACCCCACCTCCGGATCTAGATCGAATATCATCCGTCACTCACAGTTTCATCGTCGATGGCAAACTCACTGCTGAATGGACAGCCCAGATCTTTATTTGGTGGTCAAGGCCATCGCCGCCCCACACAGCCGGAACAACCGACCGCCCCACACAGCCCCTCTTCTCAGTTGGCCACCGAAATCAGTCTTTTGCCGTCGTTCGTCGGATCCCGTCGTTGAAAGGCCCATGCGTGCCGGATCTACCGCTGAAGGCCGACGCTTGCCCACCGGATTGCCGCTGAACACCAGCGTCCTCCAGATCTACTGCTAAAGACCATGGCAGCTGATGGGAGGATGCAACGTTTAGTTTGCTCGTGGTTATTGCAAGCAAACAGAGGACAGAGGAACGTGGAGGGCCCCACTAATTCAGGTATCCATTGGAATTATTACAGTGAATTCATTTTACTTCGTACTCCGTATTATTTGTTTAATCATTTATCAATACACACTAATTCAGAATGGGGTCTCTGTTTTCCAAAGTTATACGGTACGTATGATTTGACTTGCTTGGCTGTAACACCCAAACTATCTACTTTCATTAGAAGTACGAGTATATGCTAATCTGCCTCACGATTTTTTTAAAAAGAAAAAGGGTATTGCAACCTTCTTGTAAATTAATAATTGTAAATGACTCCCACTAATTCAGGTAAAAAAAAAATCGCAGATAATACATGTTATTTTAGTAAGAGCACTCATAATGTAAACTAATAGTGTACCGAGTGCTCACAAAAGTGCATATGTATGTGTACTTTTATATGGTAATTGGCTTGTTTTGGTTTGATGCATAAGTATCATGATTTTATAGAATGTTTATCCCAACAATATTTCAAATATAATTTCCCTATATACGACCCTTTATTGCAACAATCTAGTCTATATTTTTGTAAAATAAGAACCCTAGAGGTAGTCATGATTGTGTGATTTTTACGGAGTACTACTTATCCCACAAACTTGACAATTTGATGTATTGGACTCAAATGCACTTAGAGAATTGTCATTCAATTTCCTCTTGAAATCGGAACCAATATTTACGGGGATGATTAAAAGTTCAAGAAATGTCAAAGATTGTGGGTATCTTAATTTTAAAATACTCAGATTGAGAAAGCAATCAATAACCATTATGACATTTTATCTCAATAAGAATTTATTGGAGCAAAAGGGTCGAGCTCTAATCCGTATTGATCCATATAGTAAAAGAGTGAAAAAGTACGTACACCCATTGATTGTAAGCGATTAAGAACCTCTGAAGAACAAGAGATTCATCACACGAGAGACTAAATATAAATTCGACCATATGATTATCCACTGTGTTGAGATTAAGAACATTCTCAAATTGTTGGATTTATCAATTTTTTTAATATCTTCATGAATTTTAGCAATATAGACCTTACGGCTTCTAATTACCCTTATTTTTGAGTCTTAAAGTTTGGTTTAAATCTTGTGTATCCAATTAAGATTTTAAATTGATTTGACATCTCATTATTTTATCTCAAAATATATTTGAGAATTGAGGTGTTTATACATTAAGATTCAATATATCTGTATCTATGAATTTTGTTCATAACAAAATGGATACAAAGAAATATATTCATAAAATGATGGAATGACAAGTACTTCATTCCATTAGAAAAAAACTCTCGAGTGTTGTTTTTTTTAAATTGGTGACATCCATAAATAAGTGGTTTACCATGCATGGGGTCATCCACACTAGACTAAAGGATATATGGTTACTTATTGAATCAAGATTCACTTATCACTTAATTCGATTTATAGGATTATGGATTATAAATTTTCCCTATTACAATACTTTCGCATGAAACTTTGTAAAAAAAATGAGATAGAAAATATTATGCAAAAGAAAATGCATATTTGTAAATCACTAATGGCGCTTTAGGACACTGACGCCTACGATCATTGGCATAATGGACTTGGATTCTATTTTCTTCTAAAATAAAGCCAAAATGAGATTAGCCTTCAACACAATGTAATGTGTTGATCTGGGTAGTGCTAAATACAAAAAATGCCTAGTAATATATAACTTCTAAAATAGGAGAAGAAATATGTACGTCACATTATGCACATGTAGTAGAAGTTATACCAATTATTTCTCAAAGTTTACTCCTTAGCAATAATAGAATTGAGACTATTCTATGCTAAGGCTATAACATTAAAGATATCTCATTTTTTTCAATACAATGACATGCGAGAACTTATCTACCAAAATGCGGACCATTTAAATAATTATGGTTTGATAGAAATCTCTTCATGCTATCTATTTTCTTGTTACATAAAATGTTGCATTTGCAAAACTTCTAGCAAAATTTATTCTTTTAAGGGCTCACCACCCGACCAATCAAGTCTATATGACTTTTTATTGCTAGACAGTTCTCATCAGAAGTAATCGATGAGTATTGCATTTTTGTCGAGATCAATAAAAATCATCTCACATCCCATGTAAAAATAAAGTCTCACTAAAACTCACATCTAAAAGAATATAGATGATGAATATTATATCTACTATGCGCACACGTATTTATAATTATTTTCATGGGATTATGCAATATTGCAAGCACTCTTACACATTTGTTTTTAGACCGACAGTAGACAACCCTTTTGTGTATACCAGTTGGTGACTGGATCTTAGCCTGAGATGTTCTATGTATACATATATGGTTGTTAAGTAATTGTGCCTAATGCGCCTCCCACAGCGCACTATAATCGGTTTTAAAAGACAAATGTTGTTTATGTTGGATATGAACCTCCAATAATAACCGCTACAAGCCTTAACAAATAATGTGTTCACCGCTTTGCGGAATATTACTTTTATGAGACAACTAATTTTCCTGTCATTAGGGGGAGATTAGAGAAAGAATTCTCTATTTAAATGACAGGTACATCACTACTCTGTCTCAATGATAAACTTTAGACTTGAAAATGTAACATTGAAGTTGAAGTGTTTATCAATTATCATAAATGATTTAAGTAATCAGATTATACACATTAACTGCAAATATATTCATAAGGCTTGAATTCAAATTAAAAGACACAATGCTAAAGGAAGAAGCATTGCAACCACAAACCGTGGGGTTATGGTTGAGGCCGTGGCTCTCTAAAGGAACAGAGTGAGGCCATATGGTTCGATCAATTATCCACCCCAAGTAGTAGAGGGTAGATAAGGCACAAACCAATATATTCGTCATCATATGAATTCCTCTCATAAGATTATCTCTGACTAAACATGTCCATGAATCAATAATGGGGGATGCCTTGAAGTTTAAATGATTCCAGAGAATTAAAATCTCCATGTTAATGAGAGTGTGTATGAGTCAAATGATAGACCTTACACTTATACTGACGATATATTTATGGTTGCTCAAACGAATATAGAGCACGATGATATCGAACCATACTCTATTGCAACATGAAAGCAATGAGAATTTTGGCCTAAAAGCGTACAAGTAATCCAGGTATAAATTTAATATTTGACAAAGAGACAGGTATTTGGTGTGATAGTGCTAATCAACCAAGTGTAAAGCCTGTAGGACATAAATTATTCTTTGTTAGAAAGCGTATTGAGGTAATGAGGTCCTAATTATTCTCATTACGTCCTTGTTGGGATATATTATCCCGGCCTATTACTGTTCAGGAGCCCAAGACTTTACGTAGTACGGAGCCCAATCAGTAAGGCCCATTTTAGCCTGTCAGGCCTGTTTCGGCCTTTGGGCCCATTTTGGCCCATTCGGCCCGTTAGGGTGGAGAGCCCCCTTTCTCCCTATTCCCTATAAATAGGGGGTTTCCCTCCATGTAAAAGGATCTCTTTCCTTCTTCCCCAACTCATTTACTTTCTCTAGAATAGCTTGCAAGACTCCATTAATGGGAGCTCAAATTGTACTATGTAATGGTGAGGAGAGTCCTAATGAGAAGGAGAGGGCTTGGACATTAGCCTAAAAAGTCCCGTGGTTTTCTCCCTTTCGGGTTTCCACGTAAAAACTGAGTTGTTCATACACATCTATACATATATTTACTATATCGTGTTGGATTAAACTCAACACTGGCGCCGTCTGTGGGAATCTGTCCAAAAAGCCATGCAGATGGTTATGTGTGTATACATATTGTCGGGCCGTGCGGCCCGTTATCATGCTTATTGCGCAGCTGAAGCCACTCGACGCGTTCGAGCGAAATGATTAAAAGACGCTCGGCCCAAGTCTTGGAGACGTTCAGGGCCAGCTAAAGAGGGGACCACCACGGTTGAGAACCGTGGGACGAGCATCTCCACCCCAGAGACCGATTGCCTAGGAAGAACACCTAGAGGCCGAGGGTCTAGAGGGGACTGCCACGGCGAAGAACCGTGAGACGATCATCCATCATTCAGAGGCCGAAGGCCTAGAGGAGACCGTCATGGCCGAGGGCCAACTGACACAATCATATCACGACCGGCCTCTCGGCACGGCGTGATTATCATATTTTAAGACCGGCCTTGTCCCCGCACTGCGCGGATGAGGACCGTTGCTTGGATTTCAGGTCGGCCTATCATTGCCGACATCATTATATCACGACCGGCCTCTCGGCACGGCGTGTTTATCTTTTGAAGACCGGCCTCGTCCCCGCGCTGCGTGGATGAGGACCGTTGCTTGATTTTAGGTCGGCCTCTCATTGCCGACATCATTATATCACGACCGGCCTCTCGGCACGGCGTGATTATCTTATTTGAAGACCGGCCTCGTCTCCGCGATGCGCGGATGAGGACCGTTGCTTGATTTCAGATCGGTCTCCCGTTGCCGACATCATTATATCATGACCGGCCTCTCGGCTCGGCGTGTTTATCTTTTGAAGACTGGCCTCGTCCCCGCGCTGCGTGGACGAGGACCGTTGCTTGATTTTAGGTCGGCCTCTCATTGCCGACATCATTATATCACGACCGGCCTCTCGGCACGGCGTGATTATCTTATTTGAAGACCGGCCTCGTCCCCGCGATGCGCGGATGAGGACCGTTGCTTGATTTCAGATCGGTCTCCCGTTGCCGACATCATTATATCATGACCGGCCTCTCGGCTCAGCGTGTTTATCTTTTGAAGACCGGCCTCATCCCCGCACTGCGCGGATGAGAGCCGTTGCTGGATTGCAGGTCGGCCTATCATTGCCGACACCATTATATCACGACCGGCCCCTCGGCTCGGCGTGCTTATCTTTTGAAGACCGGCCTCGTCCCCGCCACATCGCGGACGAGGACCGTTGTTTGATTCTTTCAGGTCGGCCTCTCACTGCTGACACTATCATGTTATGTTCGGCCTCTCGGCACGACATATTTATCTTTTGAAGATCAGTTTCATCCCCGCACTGCGTGGATGAGAGCCGTTGCTTGGATATATCGGCCTGATCGGACACTATTGTCATCTCCTTATCAGGACCGACTGCTCAGCGGCATTATGATCATTGTTTGTCGGCTCCCAATGCCGACCCTCTTGAGTTTGCGATCGGGCTCACGACTCCCCTCCAGGAGGGTGACCAGGGCCTTCGCATGACGATCAGCTATTCTATCGCCTCGTCATTATATTCGTTCGCTATGCCACCACCATTATGTGTGACATCCTGTGATCCTGCGAGTTTCGTGGATACCGAATGTCTTCTTCGATGTAGGAAGATCGGTAGGACCACGGACCAGGGACGGACAAAGAAGAGCTAGGGAATCTCGATGTAGATAAACCTGTTCCTCCTTGCGAGTTTCGCGGATACCGAACGTCTCTTCGAAGTAAGAGCACTGGTAGGACCAAGAACCAAGGACGAACGAAGAATATGGATTGCCTCCCTCAAACAAAAAAAAAAAAAGATGGGGAGAAGAGGAGGGTAGCTCCTATGTGGAAGGGAATCTTGCCCGGGCGTGCCAGATCTTCTCCCACCGCCGAAGACGAACGCCTCTCGATGTAGAGGTTAGTAGAGACGCGGAGGGGGCTAGACGAACCAAGGGAGCTTTGCCAAGATAAACCTGTTCATCCCACAATGACCATGGATCGATGGACGTGGGATAACAAAGACGGGAACCCGTGAGGGTAAACCAGTTCGTCCCTGCGAGTTCCTTGGGTACCGAACGTCTTCTTCGATGCAAGAGACGCCGGTAAGACTAAAAGGACCAGGGACGAACGAAAAAGGGGGAATCTCGATGTAGATATACCTGTTCCTCATTGCGATGTCCGCGGATACCGAACGTATCTTCGATGTAAGAACGCCGGTAGGACCAAGGACCAATGACGAACGAAGATTAAAAGACTCCAAAAAAAAAAAAAAAGAAGATGCCAGAAGAGCACGGAGCAAAGAATGATTTTATCCCTTGGCACTATTGGCCGGGAAGTACAAACTGAAAAACATATGTAAAGAATAATTACAAGACTTAGGTACGAAGAATGAAGTGGCCGACGACGATCGGCTAACATCAGGTTTTCTTTTGCCTCGAACGACGATTAGCTCCCCAGATCAGGTAGGAGGGACATCGCCCAGATTTATTTCAGGCTCACCATTCCTTCCCGGATGGAGTCCTGGCAGACGATCGGCTTCTCACAGCCAATCAGGAGAGAGATTTGACACATCACCAGCACGGCCGAGGGCCGTGAGACGATTACCACTCACCGACAGGCCGAGGGCCATGAGATGATCATCACTATTTTTCTGTATCACGATCGGCCCCCCAGCGCCATCGTGTCCAGACTCACGGTTCGGCTCGCCCATTCCCTCCAGGATGGCGACGACCGTCTTATGCAGTGCGATCGGCCCCTCAGCGCCATCGTACCTGGCTTCACGATTCGGCTCGCCCATTCCCTCCAGGATGGCGACGACCGTCTTATGCGGCACGATCGGCTTCTCAGCGCCATCGTGTCTCTTTCGCGTTCGGATCGCCCCATTCCCTTCAGGATGGCGACGAACGTCTTATGCAGTGCGATCGGCCCCTCAGCGCCATCGTACTAGATCTCACGGTTCGGCTCGCCCATTCCTTCCAGGATGGCGACGACCGTCTTATACAGCACGATCGGCTTCTCAGCGCCATCGTGTCTCTTTCACGTTCGGATCGCCCCACTCCCTCCAGGATGGCGACGAACGTCTTATGCAGTGCGATCGGCCCCTCAGCGCCATCGTACCTGATTTCACGGTTCGGCTCGCCCATTCCTTCCAGGATGGCGACGACCGTCTTATACAGCACGATCGGCTTCTCAGCGCCATCGTGTCTCTTTCACGTTCGGATCGCCCCATTCCCTCCAGGATGGCGACGAACGTCTTATGCAGTGCGATCGGCCCCTCAGCGCCATCGTACCTGATTTCACGGTTCGGCTCGCCCATTCCTTCCCGGATGGCGACGACCGTCTTACACAGCACGATCGGCTTCTCAGCGCCATCGTATCTCTTTCACGTTCGGATCGCCCCATTCCCTCCAGGATGGCGACGAACGTCTTATGCAGTACGATCGGCCCCTCGGCGCCATCGTACCTGATTTCACGGTTCGGCTCGCCCATCCCATCCAGGATGGCAACGACCGTCTTATGCAGTACGATCGGCCCCTCAGCGCCATCGTACCCAGCTCACGTTCAGCCGTCCATCTCTTTCAGGATGGCGATGAACGTCTCTTATGCAGCACGATTAGCGCCCCAGCGCCATCGTGTCTGGCTCACGTTAGGGTCGCCATCCCTTTCAGGATGGCGACGAACGTCTCTTATGCAACACGATCAGCGCCCCAGCGCCATCGTGTCTGGCTCACGTTAGGGTCGCCCATCCCTTTCAGGATGGCGACGAACGTCTCTTATGCAGCACGATCAGCGCCCCAGCGCCATCGTGTCTGGCTCACGTTAGGGTCGCCCATCTCTTTCAGGATGGCGACGAACGTCTCTTATGCGGCACGATCAGCGCCCCAGCGCCATCGTGTCTGGCCCACGTTAGGGTCGCCCATCCCTTTCAGGATGGCGACGAATGTCTCTTATGCAGCACGATCAGCGCCCCAGCGCCATCGTGTCTGGATCACGTTAGGGTCGCCCATCTCTTTCAGGATGGCGACGAACGTCTCTTATGCAACACGATCAGCGCCCCAGCGCCATCGTGTCTGGCTCACGTTAGGGTCGCCCATCCCTTTCAGGATGGCGACGAACGTCTCTTATGCAGCACGATCAGCGCCCCAGCGCCATCGTGTCTGGCTCACGTTAGGGTCGCCCATCTCTTTCAGGATGGCGACGAACGTCTCTTATGCAGCACGATCAGCGCCCCAGCGCCATCGTGTCTGGCCCACGTTAGGGTCGCCCATCCCTTTCAGGATGGCGACGAACGTCTCTTATGCAGCACGATCAGCGCCCCAGCGCCATCGTGTCTGGATCACGTTAGGGTCGCCCATCTCTTTCATGATGGCGACGAACGTCTCTTATGCAGCACGGTCAGCGCCCCAGCGCCATCGTATCTGGCCCACGTTAGGGTCGCCCATCCCTTTCAGGATGGCGACGAACGTCTCTTATGCAACACGATCAGCGCCCCAGCGCCATCGTGTCTGACTCACGTTAGGGTCGCCCATCCCTTTCAGGATGGTGACGAACGTCTCTTATGCAACACGATCAGCGCCCCAGCGCCATCGTGTCTTACTCACGTTAGGGTCGCCCATCCCTTTCAGGATGGCGACGAACGTCTCTTATGCAACACGATCAGCGCCCCAGCGCCATCGTGTCTGGCTCACGTTAGGGTCGCCCGTCCCTTTCAGGATGGCGACGAACGTCTCTTGTACAGCACGTCTGCCTCTCGGCGCTGACATGCTCGAGTTCTCGTTGAGAGCTACCACTTCTATCACATCTCACATTCCTTCTCTCATACATTGCACCCATACATTACATGCATTCATGCATTCATGCATCATACCTCATACATTCGTACATACACACGTGCATCGTGTTTTGACAGTACCGCGACGTCGGTTTATAGATACATGGGCCTCTAAGCTTCTCCGATTGGAAAGCTCGAGTCAGAGTCCTTTACTCCCGCCTGATGCATTCAGGGGGAGTGTGCCCGTGGAGGAGCACCCTTCGCCCGACCCCGTCGAGAAGGGGGGTGCCTCACCGGCAGATTACGTTCAGGAGTGCAGACAATCACTCATATATTATGATTATGTGAAGACACAGTTTCCAGCAAGACAGAGGAAGAGCGCAGGCAGAGTATATTTTCTCGAGCAGATTCGCGAGCTCACTACTCAAGAAACTGGGGGACTTGTGTTGGGATATATTATCCCGGCCTATTACTGTTCAGGAGCCCAAGACTTTACGTAGTACGGAGCCCAATCAGTAAGGCCCATTTTAGCCTGTCAGGCCTGTTTCGGCCTTTGGGCCCATTTTGGCCCATTCGGCCCGTTAGGGTGGAGAGCCCCCTTTCCCCCTATTCCCTATAAATAGGGGGTTTCCCTCCATGTAAAAGGATCTCTTTCCTTCTTCCCCAACTCATTTACTTTCTCTAGAATAGCTTGCAAGACTCCATTAATGGGAGCTCAAATTGTACTATGTAATGGTGAGGAGAGTCCTAATGAGAAGGAGAGGGCTTGGACATTAGCCTAAAAAGTCCCGTGGTTTTCTCCCTTTCGGGTTTCCACGTAAAAACTGAGTTGTTCATACACATCTATACATATATTTACTATATCGTGTTGGATTAAACTCAACAGTCCTGGATTCAAATATGAAAAGTTACATACACTTCTCTATTTTGAACACAAAAATGTTCAACTACTTAATCTTTAAGTAGCCTCCAAAGTAATGGAGACGCAACTAAAGATTGGAGTCACCAAATAAATGTCTCAATCTTACTTAAGAGCAGTTATGTTTTTATGAACAACTTATGTTTTTATCAAGTGGTTTTTAATAACATTATATACATTCACATTTGGATTAAATCAATCCAGACGGGAGTGACATACCCGCCTAAGTGACCACTTGACTGAAAAGGGATGCAAAATGAATATATTATGCCTAGCGCATTTATAATGGAATAAGTTTTGTTTCCAAATATCACTGTATCTCCATGACATAGACATAATATGTACTTATAATGGAACATGAGACATGTTAGATACTTGAAAATCATAATTGAGATAAAGGATCTTGGGAAACTTGGTTCTTTTTTGAAATTAAACACTGAGTTGGTTGAATACTAATTCACCAGTTGCATATATCCAAAAGGGTTCTCAGGCAAAATTGATATGGATAAATGTAAACTGTTAGCACTCCCATGATTGGTCGAAATATGGATACTAGAAAAGTTCCATTACTAAAAAGTTATTGGGAGGAGAAATTCCCTATGTAAGTGCAATATGCGCATGATTGTACTTTGACCAACACATTCGACCAAATATTACATTCTCAATAACGTGTTAGCTAAAAATAACTCAGGACCAACACATCGGATATCGTCATTGAAATGGTATCAAGAGTGTACTTTGATATCTATATGAAACCATTGGAGTAATCTTTATTCATCCCTTATAAATTGAATTAAATGATTGATGATAACAATGTTCCTAAAGGAATTGAAAACATCAAAAGTATTACTCTAACACAAAACAACGTGATTTGAGTTTTACCGATGATATGTATCCCCTTACTATATCGATATTTTATTAATGAGTATATATTTATCATGAAAGAAACCATGATGTCATATACGAAATACCTTAATAAAAGTATATATCAAGTAAATGTTAGATTCTTATTGATGTGTTGCACTGAGGGGGAGTACTTACACACTTATTTATCATCAATTATATTATATTGGCGTGTTGTACTCTTTTTCCTTTTTAACCAAGGTCTATTTTTTCCCATTGGGTTTTGATACTTGGTAAGTTTTTTTGAGCCAACATAATATGCATCATCCCCCACTTTAATTTTGCAAAGGTAAAACTATGTTGAAGGAAGAACATAATTAATACGAGTATATTGCAGTCAAAAGTAATTGACGCGTGCTTATTAGTGCATCATATTTTCCTTTGACCGATGTTTATTTTTCCCATTGGGTTTTGTTTATTGGCAACAGGTTTAACAAGTTAATAATTTTAACAAGTTAATAATTTTAACATTAATCACCTTACACTCGGCACACAGGGGGAGAATTAAAGGAATTATATTCCTCTATTTGTGTGCCTTCGCTAAGGTAAGTAATGTGACAAGTATTGGAGTTCATGAACTTTCCAAACATCCTTGATTAATGTAACTATTAAGGATAAGTGTAGACTTGAGGGGGAGTTCCCCATCTACATTACGTTACACTCTTTTACTTTAACCAAGTTTTATTTTTCCCATCGGGTTTTGTTACTTGGTAAGGTTTTTGATGAGGTAACAATACATATACGCTTTATTGATCAAAGCAAGGATCAAATAAACACAGACTTAATGGAAGAAGTCTATCGTGACGCTATACTCTTTTTTCCAGTCAAGGTTATTTTTTCCCACAGGGTTTTTGTTACTTGACAGAGGTTTTGATGAGACAACAAGACAGATACCAAATTCTATTCAACTCAGCACAAGGGGGAGTGTTGAAGGAAATTCTATGTAGTGTGCTATCATTTATATAGAATATGTATTAGGGTCAATTCTATGTAAACTATGTAATTTGGGCCTATTGGCCTGTACTTGTAAACCCTACTCTATCCCTATTTATAGGGGCATTCGGTAATGAAACTTTACGAACAATTCTCCCTACAACACTTTCAAAATTTTATTATTTTGGGTGAAAATTTCCCTTTTACATATTGTTATAGCTTGAAGATCCTGTTCTGGAAAAGGGCAAAATTTACACGGGAGTAGAAAGCGTTTTTTTCTTGCTTAGGGACTTGGGGTCGTAAGATGGACAGTTTTGATAGTGAAAACGTTTTTGAGCTTTGAATATAACCAAGATTTATTGGCCTTTGGCCCTTTACTATACTGGTTTTGTAATAATTGATATTAAAAAGTTTTTGAAGGGAATTGATATTATAAAGTTATGGTTTTAGAAATACACAAAACAATAAATTCTAGTATGCTTTCTTAAGAAGGCCCAACCAGAGCTTGGAATTTAACCAAGATCATTTTTTGCAAAATTGTTTTTAGAATTGCCATTGAGATTTGTAAATTGCAATCCCATCCAGTCTCTGCAAGTCAGACCAGAGTCAAGCTTAAAATTATTTTTATAAACACTTTTTTTTAAAAAAAATTAAAAATTCTTATGTACTTCCTCCAAGTTAACTAATACTTCCTCCAAGTAGCATTGCAAAATATTAGAGGTGATCTCAGACCAAGAATACAAGCACTATCTCCCAAATGGATAAATACTCCATAAAATAAACTATCTTTAAAGCCCCAATTCATGTTGGGATTGGAAAATTCTTCTATTCAATATCAAGAACATAATTACAATAGGAGGAGCAAACTCTCACACTCAACTATTACAAAAAACCAATCCTCACCAATACACTTCTACTCTAAGTATATTTCACTCTTCACACACTTTTCTCACTTTCTAAAACCGATACAATGAACAACAATAGAACACTCTATTTATAGGCTAGGTTGGAGACAAGAGGAAGTTACATCCAAGCTTCCTAGTTATCTCCATATCTCCTTCCATGTTCATGTGTTTGATAGCTCCTTCCTAGAAGGTGTTATATGTCTCTTGGCAGCTTCCAAGAAAGAAGGTGGAAATTCCCTACAAATCTCCCCTCCAACTTTTTCTTTGTTTCTCTCATTCCTGCGGTGCTTGCTGGCTCCCCCTCACTGGCAACAAGTATCCATTCGGGTGTGGAATACTTTCTCTGTGGAACTATCACTACAAGAAAAAGGCTTATTAGCGAAGGGAAAACTGGTCGCAAAAACCTAAAAAACAGTCGCTAATGATAATTTTGCGACCAAAAAATGTGGTCGCAAGCTGGTCCCTATTGGCTTGGCCGCAAAAGACAATTTGCGACTAAAAAAAGAGGTCGGTCGCTAAAGCATTTTGGGACCAGATATAATACGGTCGCAAATGGCATTATCAAAGACCAGTTTTTTATATCAATTGTGACCATTAACCCTTCCCTAAAGTAAAAATACTACATACTATTTGGCTAACGCGACTACTTAATTGGAGTATTTGCAACCACTTATCCCTTCGTAATAACATATATTATACACATATAATTATACTTATTGCAATAATTACATTGTATATGATGTAATTATTATATTTCATCATCCAACATGAGAAATATAATATCTGCTTTCATACATAATATACGAACGATCCAAGATGTATTAAAAACCACATCAAGTTAAAGTATAATTGAAATGCAATTATTACTTCAAAATTAATCATTACATAGGAAAGACTACAAGAATTCTTTCAAGTTTGAATGTATTACATAAATTGGAGAATAAATATATTCTTCAGGATGATCTTTGGCCCTTGAACTTCTAAAAGCAGTAAACTGAAACTTCACACATATATAAAAAGCAAACTCCAGCGATGTCCTGCAATTCAAACCATCAGGTAATAGAGAGACAAAACCATGGGAAAATTAGGAGAATGATGATGATGATGATGATGATGAAATTCATAGTACTAATAATCATAAAAAGCTCAAATGATGATCATGAAATGTTAAACCACTTGATAGTTGATACTATACTATTGCAAACAAAGAATGCTGAAATATGGAGGTAAAAATTGAGATACAAGCTCTCCTTAGTTACAGATGTTAGACTAAATAATAGAACCAGAACAAAAACTAATTAGCTAATCAAGAAGATTCTTTTACCTAACTCTGTTGGTTGTTAACTCAAGGGAAATCATATTTAATGCACAAAGTTAACATCAAAGAGAAATTAATGGAAACCATCTATCAGTGTAGACACATACCTTCGAAGAGAATCCATCTTCCATGTTAGACACCTTCAATAAACACAAAAGTAACATAAAAAATAACTTTAGTCAATATTTGTACACTCACCATTTTCTTGTTAGTTTTCCTAACTGAACCGAAATAACCATTAGATATCATAAACTCTAAAAACAAAAACAAATAATAAGTAACTATTGTTTTAAGGGTAAGACCCTTACCCAATTCATTATCGAAGACATTCTTATGCATCGAATTGAACTCCTTTTGGGTTAGATGTTGGAATTGGCTGAACAATTGAATGGCTAGCTGGAAGCCTGGAAGATTAAAAGCAAAGAGTGAGCAAAGTAAATTTAAAAAAGATATACATGTAAGACATTGATATTTTCTAAAGTACATTGTATATTAGAAACACATTGATACATATGAAATCCTCTCATTTCCTACAATAAAAAAAATCATATTTTCATCTCAATAAAAATTATAATTACGTTAGTGTAATCAAATATGAACTCCTCCCATCCCCTACGGTGTTTTTTGCCTGCCACAATAGCTTTTGCAAAAAAAAATGTTAATGTAAACTAAAATCTAGTGTAATCAACCATGAATATATGTCTTTAATTGTCAGCTGCGTACATGATTACTGAAATCTGGATGAATACACAAGTGATTGCTTTCAAATCCAACACAAGTTGACAAAGAAAAAAATGATTACTTTAAAACCCCTACCATGGAATCAACTTCCAAAATGTACACATAACTGGATCATCACACACAAGCCTAAAATCAAACAACACACCATCATTTTGCTAATAAAAGAAAAATAGTTTTACGTCATGCATTAGTAACATATTGCTCCTTGTGTTACCATGGAATTATGTTTTCAAGTCCACCATGTTCCTTGTGCGTATGCTCCCATCTCCTACAGTAAAAGAATTCATATTTTGATCTCAATAAAAATTATAATAATTCTCAACTCTTTAATTGAAAGTTCATGCTCATGGATAGTAAAAAAGATTAAAATGTTCATAGATAACTACTTTACTAATCTACAGAGTCCCTTTTTGTTTCTCTTTTTTCCCAAGTGTTCTGGCTGCAATTAATTATGACACAAAATTGAAGAGAAAAACAATTTGGGGCCTCTTGTTTTGTTTTATATATTCATCTTCTAGTAAGGAAATGTATATTTGCTTTATGTTCGATTAGTTCTTAGTTCTTTCGAAAAACAGAGCACAATAAATTAAAAAATTAAATTAATTCCAAGCAATAAAATTAGGTTATTTGCGCCTCATGAGAATTAGACTACCACATGAAACCGGCAGTAGATGAAATCAGAAATCACGATTATTTCACTTACAAACACTCAATAGAAGATGAGTTCAGATGTGAGAAAAAAAATCATGATTATATACGAAAGAAAATAAATTAAATTACCAAAAGAAATTGCCTGTCCACCTTCTGGAATCTGTATATGTTATGTCCTTATCTATCCAAAGAAAAATATAAAAACCAACATACGTAGTACTAGTATATATTTTGGTAGCAAATCAGTGCGTGAGTCATAGGTTCAAGTCTGTTGGGATAGCAGATAATGCAATCCTGCTAACAGATATGGATTAAAATGTTACATTTATACTTTAATTTGTAAGGATTCAAAAGACCCCAATAACCACATCAAAACCAAAAGTACATCAATTCACTTGCATAAATCAACAAATTCAGAACAGAAAAACAAAAATCAAGAAGAACAAAACGAATTGAAATTTGAACAAAGAAGCTTCGAAAAGTAAAAAATGAGAACAGTCCGCAGCAGCTTTCATCAGATTATTGCTAAATAATGGTGGAGAAAAACGTTTACCTCAACAACTTGATACGATTTCATTTTGCGGAGCGGCCGAGTGACGACTTAAGGAGCGCCCAAGGAACAATCGAACCTGCGAGCAGCTTCTTCCGTTCGAGTGCTGAGAACATGGATTCTTCGTCCGTAGAGTAGCGATCGAAATACTGGTGTTTCTTCGGAGTAATTCCGTTCGAGTGCTGAGGATTTCGTGTCTTCATCGGTAGAGGAGAGGTCGAACGGTTGAAATGCTGGTGTTTCTCCAAAGGGGTTTTGTCCAGAGCAACATGAAGGTTGTGTGCGTCTAGGGTTTTGATGGTAAAGGAAAAATCATAAAGGTGAAAAATAAAAATGTGGCGCTTCTTTTTTTAGGGGGCTTAGCGGCACCGCCCAAAATTATAACCTTTAGGGACCGGATGCTACGCTAGTAGCGAAGGGATATCTAAATGGTCCCAATAATTTTAATACATTCGCGATCATATAAAATGTGGTCGTTATTAGTATATGCATTGGGACCATTTTTTAAGTCGGTCGCAAATGGTTGGTCGCAAAAAGTCAATTTTCTTGTAGTGTATGCCTCGCATAGAACGTCGAACATGAATACCTTCAGCTTCATCTTCAGATGAAGGCTCCCCCTGCTGAGGAATTTCATCACTGTGAGTATCATCATCACCTACTGAACCATCACTCTCTTGTTCAGTAGAATCGTGCATCTCCTCGTCGCTGAGAGGAATGTTTGATGATCCAGGCAATTCGTCTTCTGGAGTATGTTGTTGGCGGATTATTAAAGCACACCCATGAATCTCGTTTTCATGAAATACAACATCTATGCTTCATACAACTTTCTTCACTTCGGGATCCCACAACCGGTATCTGAATTCTTCATCACCATAGCCGATGAAGATACATGGGTTTGATTTGAGATCAAGCTTCTGTCTCAATTCCTTGGACACATGTGCAAATGCCTTGCACCCGAACACTTTCAAGTGAGAGTAAGAAACATCTCTTCCTGCCCATTTCTTCTCTGGCACTTCAAAGTTTAAAGGAACAAAAGGTGACCTGTTTATAAGATAACAAGCTGTCAGCACAGCTTCACCCCAGAATGGCTTAGATAGTTTAGCCATACTCAGCATGCAACGAACTTTCTCCATAATGGTCCGATTCATTCTTTCAGCTACACCATTGTGTTGTGGAGTTCGTGGAACCGTCTTCTCATGTCTGATTCCGTATGCAGCGTAATATGCTGAGAACTCTCGGGAAGTGTACTCTCCTCCATTGTCTGAACGTAGACACTTTAGCTTCTTCCCTGTTTCTCTTTCTACCATGGCATGGAATAATTTGAAGCGATCAAACACTTGATCCTTACTCTTTAAACAGTAAGCCCATACCTTTTGTGATGCATCTTCAATGAATGTCACGAAATATCAGCTTCCTCCAAGTGACTCCTCTTCAATGGGTCCACATACATCAGAGTGGACAAGACTGAGTAACTCTGTATGGTTCTTCCTGGTAGAACTGAAGGAAACCCTGTGTTGTTTCCCAAATAGACAGTGCTCACATGGATCTAGGGCAACAACTTTGCCCATGTAAATGCTTTCCTTCCTAGCAAGAGTTGTCAATCCCTTCACGCTCAAGTGGCTTAACCTCCGGTGCCACAAGTTTGGTGATATCTCTTCTTCAACAGCATTGAGACTTGGATGACACAACTTTGCATAAGTTTTATAAAGAGTAACACAAATATGGCCTCTTGCAACAACCAAAGAACCTTTAGATAACTTCCACGTACCTTCTTTGAATCGGTTAAGATATCCTTGCTGATCCAGAGTTGTACCGGAGATGAGATTCAATCTAAGATCTGGAACGTGTCGAACATCTTTCAACACAAGTGTGCATCCGACATTGGTTGTTATGTGCACATCACCAATGCCAACAATCTTCGAGAAATTGGTGTTTCCCATCTTCACAGCTCCAAAGTCTCCTGACTTATAAGATGTGAATAAGTTCTGGTGTGGAGTAGCGTGAAATGATGCGACTGTATCGATCACCCACTCAACATCATGAGCAACAACGTGTAAACATTCTTGTTCACCATGTGTAACAAGACACACGTCTGATGACAAACTAACCATGGTCTAACCATCTTCTTGGCTAGTATTTTAACTTATCTGTGGCTGCTCTCGTAGAAACTTTCTACAATCTCTTTTTCTATGCCCATATTTACTACAGTAATTGCAATATCCTTCAAACCAAGTACTGTTTTCAAAGGACATACCTCTCTCTTGTGATCTGCCGCGTACTTGAGAATTTCCTCTGTTTTGACCTTGGCCTCTACCTCGACCTCGACTTCTTCCTCCATTTCTGCCTCCCCCTCGTCTGTTAGTTTCTGATACGAGGGCATATGATTGTTTTGTCCCAGCTTCCTTTCTTCGGGCTTTTTCGTTCATAAGGGCATCTGTGACCATCTGCATAGTCACCTTGCCATTGGGAGCAGAATTGCTGAGAGTGAGAACAAGAGTCTCTCAGCTTTGAGAGTCTGTCAGGTAGAGAGCTCAAGAGTAGTATCACCTGCTCTTCATCTTTGAGAACCCATTCGGTGGTGCTCAACTGATTCACAAGATCCTGGAATTGACTAGTGTGTTCTGACACCGAAATACCGCCTTGTAATTTGTGGTTTACTAATTGCCTCATTAGTAAAGTCTTATTTCATGCAGTTTTCGCTTGATACATGCTACTAAGCTTCTCCCATAGTGTGTAAGCACTTTGTTCTTGTGCAACATGGTGGGATACACTATGATCGATCCATTGCCGAATTTGTGCGACAGTTTTTCTATTCATTTTTGTCCATTCTTCATCCGTTTATTTATCCGGTTTCACGCCATTATTATCAAGAGGATCGGCTAAATCACTCAAATTTAGCAAATCCTCCATCCTAGGCTTCCACATATTGTAATTTGTGGAAGTGGGCGCAATCATGGTGTCCAATGATGATTTGTCCATAATAAAACGCTCAATATATCTCGTATCTTATTTTCGAAGCCGAATTTGGACAAACGGAGGTCACCGTTGGATCCAGAATGGCCGAAAATGGTAGGAACCAGTCTGACCTCGTCCAAAACCGGTCTGGAAATGGGTAAACCGGGCCCCCACAAGTACGAATTAGTTCGGTCCGGTTCAGGCAGCAGACCAGTGGCCTGACCAGCAGGCAGATGACGTGGCTACAGCTGGCTTTGCGCTGGCACTGACGTGGCCCCACGTGGAAGCTGACGTGGTGGCAGGAGGGCGAGTACGTGGATGACGTGGACGATGACTCAGCACTACGTGGCACTGACGTGGACTGACATGGCGCTGGCGTGGCGATGACGCGACGATGACGTGGCGCTCACTGGTCGTCTTCTTCCTCTGGACTGCGCGTGATGACGCAGGCAGTTCCACACGGATTTCGGGCGGCGCGTACGGCCTCTTCCGCCGGTCAAAAAATTCCCTAAAAATACCAAATTTCTCCTCTCGACGAGACGAATCTAACGGTGTGATCAGATCGTGATTCCGATCAACTTGAAAAATCACGATTTTCTAACCTGTAGAAATTTATCTAAAAATGAGAAAATAGTGTATGGAAAATTCTTGTTGGGATTGGAAAATTCTTCTATTCAATATCAAGAACAGAATTACAATAGGAGCAAACTCTCACACTCAACTATTACAAAAAACCAATCCTCACCAATACACTTCTACTCTAAGTGTATTTCACTCTTCACACACTTTTCTCACTTTCTAAAACTGATACAATGAACAACAATAGAACACTCTATTTATAGGCTAGGTTGGAGACGAGGAAGTTGCATCCAAGCTTCCTAGTTATCTCCATATCTCCTTCCATGTTCATGTGTTTGATAGCTCCTTTCTAGAGGTGTTATATGTCTCTTGACAACTTCCAAGAAAGAAGGTGGAAATTCCCTACAATTCAGGCTTAAGATCAGACAAAGTTAGGACTAAGGAGGGTTTTTATGAGAGTACCTTTTATCACAAGAGCTTTCCTGGCCTGTCCATATAACCTACCATATCAAAGTGAGGAAAATTTCTTTGTGAGTTTTTTCAGGCCTCTCTAATAATAGTAATGAAGTGGACAGATTCTACATTTCTACCTAAAGTTGTTCAAGGGAAAATGTTGTGAGAATTGAGGTTGCGGGTCTTCCAAACATGGCCCTAGTTGCTGTGCTTTCAGGATTTGCATCTGAGCTTGAACTCTGGCCAATTGACATTCAAGATTGGAAATTTGGTCACATAAAATAGTGATTATTCCAGCACAACCATAAACTGGATCCTTAATCCGACAATGTGCCTCATAGTACAAGGATTCTGCCACGTCTGCTCGCTCATGCTCTTCTACTTGCTGTATTATAAATAAAAAATAAATAAAATGTATAAAACAGTTAATTACATACATATGGTATATAAAGAGAGACCAAGTTCTATGTTGTATACTAATATGTCGTATTGTCGTATACTCCAATTATTAAACACTATCTTCCTAAATGATTATTGCTTATAGATGATTGAAAGACTTGATAAGAACTTTAGAATTAGATAACCTACGTAATAATTAAACAGAAGAGAATGTAATTTCGAATACTTTTCCAAAACACAAATTGTACAGTCGCTTAGTCCATCACATACCTAAGTTGTAATCATTGAGATCGAGGGTAACATAAATCGTAATGCCAATTCAATACCAAACAATTGTTGTCTAAATAATGTAGTGTTCTTTACTCCTCTAAATAACAAGCATGTTCAATTGATGTAATTTTTTTCTTATTTGACAATGTACGGTGTTATAAATAATAAATGTTGCTTCTATTTTATAAACTTCATTACCAGTTAGATACTCTGTATTTAACATCTTCACTTTGTAATTCTTCTCGTAAACTTATTAAAAAGTTATCTTAATTTGATAAAAGAAACTTTCTATTCAAAAAATAAACACATACGGAGTATATGTGTTGAAGCATTTGTCCCACACCGGAAAGCTATAAAAGAATTAAACACTATATAAGGCTTTGGGCTACTCCTCCTATCAGGTTGACCTTTTAGGATGGAACCTCAAAATCTTAACATGGTATCAGAGCCAATTCCGGTTGTGGTTTGACGGCTTGTTTAATTAGCACCCATGATTAAGGGTAGTTAGTTAAAGGTTTGTTTGGCCCGTTTATACATCCCGATATTGTCCAGCCCGGTTCGGGCTGATGGGGCGTGTTGAAGCATTTGTCCCACACCGGAAAGCTATAAAAGAATTAAACACTATATAAGACTTTGGGCTACTCCTCCTATCAGGTTGACCTTTTAGGATGGAACCCCAAAATCTTAACAATATGTTTGTTATGACTGAGAAAGTGATAGTTCCTTTATTAATTACTTATTTTTTGTTTATTTGGTGCGCATAGCTCTATAGGTAATTTTGTAATATGTATTTTGGAAAGTGTTCTTATGGTTGATGTATCAACTCCCAAGCGGAATTCTGACTCTGTCCCTACTATCTACATATTTTGTAATTAATCAATATGCAAAACCTCAAATATGAGTGTACTAATTTCATTTTCCCAATGTGTGTATAGTGAAGGGAAAGAGGGGGCCTCGATGCGCTCAATTAGTGGCCCCGTTCCCGACGATACATTTCTGACTCCACCACTGATATTGTGTGCACCGTGTGGATATATATATATATATATATATATATATATACACTTCGTACTCCGTATATAATACGGAGTATGTATGTAGATGGAAGATGGTAAGGTGTGAGTGTGTGACTATACCTGGAGCATCATTTCAACGTTGCTAGTACCAAAGATTTTGTGAACGAAAGCAAATCTTTGAGGATCATTAGGGGGGAAATATGGCAAAAATATGCAATTTGATGGGCACCTCCTTCTAAGTTGCTTGCAAGCTGCACACCTACCACCACTTATAATCTTTTTTGTTGACGTCTTCTCCATTATTATACAAGTACTTCGTATATCTCTTACGATATCTAGCAACTACCTCAATGAATCTTATGAGACACTCACAAAGATACTTCGTATGATATGATTCTGGGAGTATTTTGGGTTTCAAGATTGAAAAATCTTGTGAAATTCTTTGCTATCTTTGTTTATATGATTGTTATGTTATAAGATTTGGGATATTTATATACGAAGTATATGTTGATGGAATGATGGAGCAGCAGCTAAAAACACCATAACGGCTACTTGATTATTTTCGTTTTCAAGAGTTAGTGGTTTTACTTCTTCAATTAATACTTAATAGTGTATGGCTAATTTGGGGTGTTATTTTTGCAGGAAGGAAAGTTACCGGTAGCATTAACCTGCTATCCAAACATTTGTTATGAATTTAATTCACTTTCTCTTTTATTTTAGTCTAACTTTTTCCATATCCCATTCAATTCGTATACACATATACCTTCCCAGGATAAAAAAGTGTACTTTTACCATTGAGACTAAATTGGGGTTTTTAAGGTAGATTCTATGATACCCATAAGGTACCATACCTTTGTCCACATGGACCAATCACAATGTTGCAGTTGAATTATTTAAGTCTAAATTAAAAATGATATACCTATTTGGACCAATCAAGTGAATGGTAGGTACGGTACCCCATTTTTTAAATGGGTACCGGAGTTCTCACCGTTTATATATGCAAGTATATAGATATTTTAGTTACGTTTCACAAGTAAGCTAAGGTGTTGTTTTCACCGCGTCAAAAACGAAACAAATGGTCTTCAAATAAAACTTAATCTCTAGGATGGACCTTTTATTGTATACGGAGTATACACATATTAATATATAGAGAAATAATGAAGTTCATTTCTATTATTTTGACAAACTTGTGAAGGAAACCTTAGTGTGATTGAACGGCCCTCTGGGCTAATGTATAAGGCACGTTTGTTTGTATGAATAGAACAAAATCACCAGCTCCTCTTTGGCTTGGTTGGTAAATAAAATGTTACGATTTCAAATCAACACATGTCGACAGTTCGAAGCTGGTAGAAGAGTAAGAGGATAAGAAGAGAAACTAAAGATTCCAAAATACCTTTCATCCAAAATACCTTTCTTTTTGTAGGTGTTATATGTTTGATACTTGAATATTTGGAGAGAGGAATAAGATCCGATGTCATATGGCAGAGGAGAAAAATATATTTCTAGACTTTATGTGCACCTTTTTTGTACATTTTTTTTATTTTTAAGTGGAAGAAGTTGTTCACATGTATAGACAAGTGTCCGAGGGTGACCAAGGCAAATCTTCCATACTAATTCTAATTTGTATTTCAGAAAGACAATTTCTATTATACCATGCAAATACTTTATCCACATTGGTCAATTAGAACATTACAATTGAATAATTTAAATATAAATAAGTAATGAAATGCTTACTTGAATCAATAAATACGACATTTTCATTTTTTATGACCTTGTTAATTCACCAATGAACAAAAAATATTAGTTTGAATACAAATAAGTTTCATACTCGAAATTATAGTACAACTAAACTAGTTATGTAATACTCCGTATTTCGTATTGTTTTGAAACAAATTAAAGGAAGTTCTCCGTATCTTTTTCATATGAAGAAGTGAAGAAACACATTTTTAAACATTTGTAGGCCGTTAGGAGCCCCTAAAATCAGCTAATGAGCTTGAACCCGTGCAGCACTAGTAAGTTTATAATCCTACTTTAATCTTCAATATCTTGCCTAATTGACTTCATAATTTTGTTGGGTGTCCAAATAATTTCTAATAGTAATATTAAGAGAAAAACATAAAAGTATGGGGCGGGGGACATGCCCCCGTTATGTTCGTGCATGCCTCCACTCCTGCATAAGAGTAATAAAAGATGGCGAAAAATTATTCAATAGGGAAAGTTCCCGAAATAGGACTAAAATAATTTGAAAATTTCAAAATCCAAAATAGGACTAAAATAATTTGAAAATTTCAAAATAGGATTGTCGTGTTTTTTATTTCCAAAATAGGAGTAATTAATGTCAAATTTAGAAAATACTGCCATGTTTGAAGTTTGGTACTGTCAAAACGTGACAATAATTAGTCTTATTTTGGGAATAAAAACATGGAAGTCATATTTTGAAAATTTCAAACCTTTTTAGTCCTATTTGGGGAAAGTTCCCGAAATAGGACTAAAAAGTATGTAATGACTTTGATGAGATTCATTGGAAATGAAAGATAAGAATAATACGTTAGTATTTTTCTTATCTTCCATTTCCAAGGAATCTCATCAAAGTCATTAAATACTTCTCAAAGTTTGGTAAAAGGTAATGAAGTTTGTATGGTAGATAAAAGTTGTGCATAAGTCACCAAGATGTTTAGAAGGATGAATAATCACAGATTCACAGAAGATTGTAGATCATATATAGACGTGAATGTGTTGTTATAGTTGACGAATCAATATTAAAAGGATGAATTATGTACTAGTATAAGGCACGATTGTTTGTACTTCGTATAAATAGAACCAATTCGACCAACGGTCACCAGCTCCTCTTTGGCTTGGTTGGTAGGTGAAATGTTTCAATTTCAAATCAACTCAAGTCAAGAGTTCGAAGCTTGTAGAAGAGGAGAGGATAAGAAGAGAAAATAAAGGTATTCTAAAATACCTTCTTTTTGAAAGCTATATGTTTGATACTTGAATATTTGGTCTGATTACTCTGATCAACTTTCTCGCCTAGATGAAGTTAAAAACAAGTGTTGTAGGGAGAAAATGATCGTATAGTTTCATTATCAAAGGCCCTATAAATAGGGAGGTATTAGGGTTTACAGAGACGGGTCAATGAACCCATAATACATGGTTTACATAGAATGATCCTAATACATATTCTATATACACGATAGCACACTACATAGAATTTCCTTCAACACTTCCCCTTGTGCTTAGTTGTAGATAGAATTTGGTAGCAGTCTTGTTGCCTCTTCAAAACTTTGTCAAGTAACAAAAACCCTGAAGGAAAAAATGATCTTGACTAGAGAAATAGATTACATCATCGTGATAAACTTCTTTCAATAAGTCTATCGTTATTTGATCATTGCTTTGATCAATAACATATTCATGTATAGTTATCTCATTAAAAACCTTCCTAAGTAACAAAACCAATGGGAAAAATAAAACTTGGTGAAAGGAAAAGAGTGTAACGTAATGTAGATGGGGAACTCCCCCTCAAGTCTACACATATCCTTAATAATTACATTAATCAAGGAAGGTTGGAAAGTTCATGTATTCCAATACTTGTCACCTTAATTACCTTAGCGAAGGCACACAAATAGAAGAATATAATTCCTTTAATTCTCCCCCTGTGTGCCGAGTGTAAGGTGATAAATGTAAAAATTATTAACGTGTTAAACCATTGCCAATGAACAAAACCCAATGGGAAAAATAAACATTGGCCAAAGAAAAAATATGATGCACTAATAAACACGCGTCAATTATTTTTGACTCCAACATATTAATTATGTTCTTTCTTCAACATAATTTTACGTTTGCCAAATTAAAACATGGGATGGTGCATGTGGTGTTGCCTCAAAAAACTTTACCAAGTAACAAAACCTGATGGGAAAAAATAAACATTGGTCGAAGGAAAAAGAGTACAATGCACCATTATAATTGATGATAATTAAGTGTGTAAGTACTCTCCATGAGTGCAACACATCAATAAGAATCTAACATTTACTTGATATATACTTTTATCAAGGTATTCTGTATATAACATCATGGTCTCTTTCAAGATAAATATATACTCATTAATAAAATATCAATGAGTTAAGGGGATACTCATCACCGGTAAAACTTAAATCACGTTACTTTGTGTTAGAGTAATACTTTTGATGTTTTCAATTCCTTTGGGAATATTGTTATCATCAATCATTTAATTTAATTTATAAGGGATGAATAAAGATTACTCCAATGGTTTTATATAGATATCAAAGTACATTTTTGATATCATTCCAATGTCGATATACGATGTGTTGGTCCTGAGCTATTTTTAGCTAACACATTATTGAGATGATAATTTGGTCGAATGTGGTTGTCAAAGTACAATCATGCACATATTGCACTTTCATAGGGAATTCCTTCTCCCGATAACTTTTCAATAATGGATATCTTTTCTAGCGTCCATAATCCGACTGATCATGGGAGTGCTAACAATTTACATTTATCCATATTAATTTGCCTGAGAATTCTTTTGGATATATGCAACTGGTGAATTAATATTCAACCAACTCGGTGTTTAATTTCAAAACAGACTCGAGTTTCCCAAGATCCTTTATCTCAATTATGATTTTCAAGTATCTAACATGTCTCATGTTCCATTATGAGTACATATTATGTCTATATCATGTGGATATAGTGATATTTAGAAACAAGACTTATTTCCATTATAAATGCGCAAAGCATAATTTATTCATTTTGCATCCCTTTTCAGTCAAGTGGACACTTAGACGGTATGTCATCCTGTCTGGATTGATATATTCCAGATGTGAACATATATTGTAATTAAAACCACTTGACTAGAAATAAAAACGTAACTGCTTCGAACATAACAACTGCTCTTAAATAAGATTGAGAAACGTATTTGGTCACCTCAATCTTTAGCTGCGTCTCCTATTACTTTGGAGGCTACTTAGAGATTAAGTAGTTGAACATTTTTGTGTTCAAAATAAAGAAGTGTAACTTTGCATATTTGAATCCAGGACATAGTGAGAATAATTAGGACCTCATTATCTCAATACACTTTCTAACAAAGAATTATTTTATGTCCTACAGGCTTTACACTTGGTTGATTAGCACTATCACACCAAATACCCGTCTCTTTGTCAAATATTAAATTTATACCTGGATTACGTTTACACATTTAGGCCAATGTTCTCATTGCAATCATATTGCAATAGAGTATATTTCGATATCACCGTGCTCTATATTCCTTTGAGCAACCCTAAAAATATATCGTCAATATAAGTGTATGGTCGACTCATACACACTCCCATTAACATTGAGATTTTAATTCTCTGGAATCATTTGAACTTCGGGGCGTCCCCCATTATTGATTCATGGACATATTTAGTCAGAGATAATCTCATGAGAGGAATTCATATGATGACGAGTAT